TAATCATATCTCATGGTTTGGGCAAATTAACCCCTTTCCTCGGGGTTTGTTTTTTTCTGGGACACCCTGTATTGAGTTGATGTTACGAGTTGTCCAAGGTACGAATCGACCTGTTTCCGGACATCAGACTGTACACCGGTTGTGCGAATGAAATCAAACATGTTTTGGTTTTACTTCCGATTTCTACTGATTTAAGTCACATGTTCAAAATGCTCACAGAATCATTACCATTGTGACTGTATGGCCGCTAGACGCGAATCTAGGATGGTGAGGTATGATAGGGTCAAGGGTCACCCCCCCTTGCCATTTTTCTAGGGACCTACGTCTAAACGTTGGATGGACGGCCCACTCAAAAGCATAAACCATAGGCCTATAGGAGTCTTATTTTGCGTGTACGGTAAGGACCAAAAAAGGGATTAAATAGTTTCACCACCGGCGACGACTACATGTAATACCCCCCCCGGCCTTGTACGAACAAAACTTCCCGAACCCCATCCAGGAAAAATCGCCAGGTCCGCCCCTAGGCCACCGTACGGAAGCGTATATAGAACATGACTGAAAAAAAATCTGCCTTCAGCGAATTACTTGTTTGCCCGGGCGGATTACTATTTCGCCCGGGCGAAAGGCAGATTTTTTTTTACAGTTATGTCCTATATACGTTCCGTACAACCGTGTAACTGGTTAACATTTCAAAGTCATCGATTATATTAACGAACAAGACAAATTTGCGTGTGAGGTCTACCCTAAGGTCGAAGACAGCCGCACGGGTGATATCGTGAGCTGGTAAACTTTCGGCAGGGTGTGCGGCGGATTTAAGTCAGCACGATAAGGTAAAGCGAGCTGCACTAATGTCGGAGGGCGCTTCAACTATCTCTCAATAAACAGCTTTGCTGATATCTCCCTCTGGTTCGCGGAAGGCCCCCCTCGTGTCCGGGGGTGTACGTGTTGTCCCTTTTCACAACAACTCTCGAAGAAATCGCAGGCATCACCAAGCACTAAGGCCGGTTCACGCTGCAGGCAAATAACGAAAGCGAGGCGAATTCGACGTCACGAAAAACTGGCAGCGAAATTTTGCTCGAGTTGCAATTTGCGTTTGAGTTCGTACAGAGTATTAATCAGCCTTCATGCCACCAGCACAGCTCCAATTACGTGGCTGCTGTCGGAACTAATACATGCATGTACTTGTTCTTAAGAAAAGCAGCCAACAAAGCGATCGTTTTGCTTTGACTGTGTATGGTGGCTTGAAAAGGACACTGCAAGCCGGGAAATTAGCGTCAATGTTTGATTTTAAAAATTTCACCCATTCCTGTGCGCGTGCTCTGGTATTGATCACGTGACCATGCTCTTTCATAGAGATAAATTGCGAGTTTGTGAAGAACACCCACTGCAGTCTCGTAGTAAACTTGTTTACTATCTATCAGTCGAGAGCCTGGGTGGGGTCTACATGTGGAGTGGGAAATATTGTATGATGAGTTTATATGCCGCAGCCAACAAACACCAATTTTACCCCCAAAAATTGGAAACTCCACTCTATTTCATAGGCAAATTTTACTAAACAATTTAAATTCTCTTTGAATTGAAATAAGAAAGTTTCAAGATATGATGGATTTGGAGGTCTCCATTTGTGCATAAAGTAATTTTTGTCTTCAAAGCTAAATTTCTCAAAAGGTGAAGAAGGGATCATCTGTTTTTGCATCTCTTACATCTTCCATTCATGTTCAGATACGTGTACACAACAAAAAGCCTTTAGTTGGGCTTGTATGCGAGTCTTCCGCCCGTTGAGTCTCAGAATTATTGGTTTGAAGTTTCCAGAAAGAAGAGGGGAGGGGTCAATACCAAACTCCTCTCCGAAATTCAGAGTCGAAGCACAGAAGCACTTAACATTTTCCTAGACTTTCGAATATCACATGACAATGCTTAAGTCGTCCAAACCATATGTGGACATACCGCACTTGCTGCACATCAATCAGTTGAAATGTTTTATTCACATGATGCACAAACACAAACCGCCCGTACGCGAACAACAATGATTATAGCTTTTTAACTTTCGAATTTAAGTTAATATAATGTTTTGTTACTAGTGTGATATAAGGCACAAGCTTTAACGGAGGCAATCATGCCTCGGTGAGGTTTAAGTTAATACATAATCGTTATAATTTCCAAACAGATTACCATAAAATATTTCAATACCAGCATTTAAGACAAAATAGCATTTCTTTCTACTTATACAAATTGCTATTTGAATGATAGTTTATTGAGTATTCATGGGCACACTCATCACACAGCCCCAAATAACTATTTTCTACGGATATCATACGAAGCCTAGTGCTTTCTACTAAACACTCGATTTTGCAAGAATATAAAGTCAGTAACCCAAATGAAATATGCAGTGCAAGAATTACTGATTTCAAAATTAATTAAAATTTGCTAGCAGGTAATCGTGTGTCTATTTTACTGTAATAAAGCTCAAAACAAGTATTTTTATTTTGTTTGTAGACTAATCAAGTACTTTTTTTCATTATTCCCTTGACAAGGGGAACATGCCAATTCAGTTTCAGAATGGACCTTATTTTGAAATGCTTTGAGGATTTTGTTTTACAAAACTACACAAGCAAATGGTTGGGCATCAGGACACTGATTTGATGGATAAGTATAACTTAGGGGAATTGTTGGCTTTCCCTCAAAGATTGGGAGGGTACCGCAAAAGATCTTGAACTTTCCATCAGATAAGAAAGTGTGTCAGAGGCATATACATGTTGCATGTTTAATTATCACCCTGTTCCATCAACCAATCAGCTTTCATGTGTTGTACAAGTGGTGTAAGTGATCGATGTTGGCGGAAAAGGGCATGCGTTGGAGTTTCCCTGGAACTTAATGTCGCCCATCAATCAACAGGTACACTGTTACCAACCGGACAGGTGCCGTCAGGCTTGTAGGATATTTATGCTGTGCTGCGTCTGCGACCCAATGGATTATTCATAACTGACGGCAGATGTATCGAGACTGTGCCTGCGTGCTTCAAGAGTGATATTTTATTGATTCTTCAATGGTTTTAGTGGGTTCATCGTGTAGGTTGTGTAATTTTATAACAAGTTGGTGACTCCTGTATATCGGTGCTTCAAGCTAAGCCGGCGGGAGTGGGGAGCGTGGGTAGTTAAGCCTCAGCACATGTCGGCACAGGTGAAACTTTCATTTTCTTAAATTAGTAATACAAACAACGGGGCAGATGAGTCTAACTTCGTAATTAGGATACACTCACTTTATGGGCCACATCAAGGATAGGTAGGGGAGGGGAGACTCTGTCTCTCATGAGAGAGAAAGTGTAAAATAAAATTGAAGTTCTTTATATTTTTCCGTTAACATAATTTTGGTAATTTTCCCCTGGGTTTCCCTATTATCTTTTGAATGGACAATACTGAATAACATTTTGAAGATACCTTAAATTATAACATAATATTATCTTTTGAATGGACATTACTGAATAACATTTTGAAGAAACCCTAAATTTACATCGAACAGCCATATTTAGTCCTCACATTTTAAATATTTACAGTGTTCTAGTGCTGCTAGAATAACGTGGTTAAAATAAAATACAAAGTTGCTGCATGGATGTTTAATTGTAGTTAATACAATACTGACTGGGAAACAAACTAGCGTATTTTCTTCATCTTCACGTCAACGAGGTTGACAAAGAAAAACAAGATACCACTTACACCAGAGTATCAACAATCAGCTATGCCTTGGGAAACCAGACTAAGGTACCAGCAACAAGATCAGTATCGATCAAATCGGTCTCCTTCCGTAATGGGTTTCTCGTCCAACACGTGGTACGAATTGGTTCATTTACCTGAATGTAGTTGTATATTATTATATCATATTTTTGTTTTTCGAATACCTATTTTCCTATTTCCTAAAGGAAAAGGCATGATGTAGCAGTTATTTGGGGCATAAATTCTGCATCCTATATACAAAATATCAATCTATCCCGAGACATGTAACGCGGCTACAGCAAGATAGGTAGTTTTACTGAAACAGTAATGCGCATGCCCAGAATTAGGGAGGACACAGCCACCAACGTTTCAGCTTCATAATAAAGAATGAATAAATGACAATCGTTTCGACAAATGAATACATAACAAATAAATCTAAAAGAAGTGTTAAAATCAACCTGCACCGGTCTACATACAGCAGGGTATGGTTAAGCCTGCACATAGCCAGCAGTCCGTAGACAGTGTCATAAAAGGAAAACCCACACCAACAAAAAAGATTGAGCAACTTTACAGGTTTCCAAAAATAAGCAAAATATCAGAAATTGAAGAATAAAAATGAAAACACCAAAGCCTGTAAATCCAGACGAATGAAAACCTGAACTGCTGGGCCTATGCTTTAAAGTTTCGCATCACTAAAATGTTTGATTTCATCATTTTGTTCATAATTCTGACACCCCAGGTCCGTGATATCTCGCTGTATTTGGCACGATGATGTAGACCCAAGTCAAAGCAATGACTCTGTTTACTTTTGACCATCTTCGGCGGCACTCTTCAGAAACTGCAGACAAAGGGAGAAAAAGATCGATGAGAGGTTAACGAGAGCAAGAGGAGATTGGTTGGACAGGCGTCTTCTAAAAATGCTGTCGAATGATCAGGAAAAAGACACAAAATCCAAACATCAGCAAGAGGAAGGCATTTGTATAACATCAACGAGTAGTTTCAAGATGTTTGAAGTCGAGTCAAGACCACCTGCAGACTTCACACGACCATAACAAAATCACCGTTTAAAACTCGTATTATGAAGACTGAAGTCAACAAAACATCTGTTTTTCATGGTTCGTATTCCTGCTTGTTACTTGTGACCGGTCTTGTACCCGATCCTGTGACTGGTCGTGTAATGATTGGACTACAACACTGATTTTCGATTAAAAAATAAAACATAAAAAACAAAACAAAACAAAGACCAGTCATACAGAGGAACTGAAACGAAAAACCAAACAACTAGAAAAACTTCAACGAATATGATTGAACGTGAAGTAGTAATGCCTGTATGACTTCATGATTTTCCATCTAACGACCCTTCATGAGTGACTTAAAAATACAGGCGTTCTTGATTAATTTGCTGTTATATCATGCGCAATTCGGTGGAAAGATATTTCAGTGTCGTCTTTAATTTTCCCTTGGTTTGAACCATTTTCTGTATTATGGACTAATTATTTTTAGCATCCGTGAGCTCAAAATTATGCAACAGCGGTTACACAAGCCCACGTATGGATTTAAAAAAGTGACATTTATTCAGTTCGTATGGGTACCAGCACAGTATCATGTAATGCGTATAGGACACCGTGCTAAACATGGAAATTCAAAGTAACACTTCATTTGTTTAGCTCTACTGGTCAAAATCATTTCGGAAGGCTAGTTTAGTTGAAAGAACCTGATTTTCCCGAAATTTGTTCAATATATAGTTTTCTCTACCGCCCCTTCTCTTCTTTCCGCTTTCAATCTCTTCCTTTTCCCCATTTCTCCTCATTTTTTCCCTACAGGCGGTCGTTTGAATACCCCAAATACCCTTCTAATCTTGCGTTCAGTTCAGTTTCATTAATGTATGCATAACAAGTGTTATCTCAGGCAATTAAAATACAAACAACAGCATACAGATCGTTACAGGATCTGGTGTGTCGGTTTCTTTAGTGAGAGGCAAAACGTTAAATTGTCAGTCACGTATTTGTAATTTCTTTAAATACCCATTCTATGGATAACGCACTTTGAGGGATACCTGGACCCATCTTTTATTTTGTGTTCCGTCTTCACTTCCTAATAGAAATCAAGCAGGATCATTGTCGTCCCTGCTTACGTCTGTTCCTTTGTAATGCATGATTTATGGAGGTAGGCATGTACTTTCCATGCAGAGGTCAGCGCATTTAAACTGACATGCGATTAAAATTGAATGACAAAGATGAAGTGACTTTTTCAATAGCATCCTGACCAGCTACACAGCTTTACACTTTCTCCAAGGTCAATAGTTCTAGGAAGAAATTGTCGTGCGCCTGCAAGCTAAATTTTAAGGTTTATTTTCGTGCCAACCAATTCGTGAAGGAAAATGGTTCAAGAGTTGTAAGGCGCCATTTTGACGAACGAAAGCCTCCATGATCAATCTCTTATAGACAATCGTTGACATTATCTGTATCATACGCAACTGAATCGCAGAGCACTGCGTTTTGAGGGTTGGCGAACCTTCACGCTCTTTATACCTGCGCGTTCTCCGGCCTAAACTTGATTAATTGCGGCGACGGAAATAACGATATTACAGTCATGGTGCTTCCAACTAATTGGTCTTATTGATTCCGACAGAAATTCAAAACGGCAGTTGAACAAAGGCTCTTATTGAGCTATTAATTTTTTCACAATTCATCGGTTCGGTTCTGTTGAACGTTGAGCCATACAATACGTTTATCCGTACACAGTCTTGTCATTTCTGTGGTAAAGTGGTTGTGACGTATGCTTTTCCCTTCTTATTCCCGCCCTGGGTCCATTGTGCTCTGCAGTGCCCCCCCATGGAGGGGACAACCCATTTTATTATCTTCTTCGTAAAATTCATCTCACAGTGAGTGCTGTGACCGCTGGTTGTTGAAGTTTGATAAACTCAGTCGAATCAGTTTGGGTCAATCCAGTGAAAACCTTGATCGGCAGACTAGAGATGAAGGGAGTATCATCTTTTAAAATTGTTTTTCAAAAACTCATGACTCTTAATGTTAGCACGTTCCAGAACATGCCAGTTTTCTGTTTGGAGAGGTAGGGTAGCATTATTGAGACATCTGTTGACACCACGCTTAAACCTACGGTTTAAAGCGCCTATAAAATGAAAGATGCCATGCCGCAGACTTCGGCAGGAAAACGGTTTGTGAAGTTAGTCGACCGAAGTATGAAACTAAAATGGCGTCAGAAACTTGACAGTTTTGATGCTCAATACCGCTTTGTATGTAAACCTTTGTAAACGTAAAAAGATAATTGGCCTACACTTTTCTAGATCCTTTTTATATACTCAGACTTTTAAATGAATGGTATTCGTTTACAGAAAAGACAAAAAGGTTTAAATACACTCGTATACCGAGCGCACGAGACGTTGCTACACGCACTGCTTGCTAACTTCGTGCACGGATCTACTCTTCCCGTTCCACGCAGTAGTCAACTATAAGTTGACTTTACAACTGTCTGCGTCCGTGTTTGTGTCACTTGGTAACGACTACGCATCGGAACTTTTCGGTGACGGTCATGACTTCATGAAAACTGAGCTCATCGGTTGAAAAGAGCCGCCTTGGTCGGGAGTATTTATTTTGTTGGTAGCATTGCAACGCAACAATTGCGTTCCTTATTCGTTCGCGAACCAACTACGCGCAGTTAGTACCATTATAATGGAGATCAATGGTTAGTACCAACGGAGCTCCCGTTGCTAAGGAGATAGCGCCATCTCCTGCTCCAGCTCGAGGTCTATAGGGTAAAGAACAGAAGTTACAAAAGAGCTGGGGGCTCGTCGCGAAATCCTTGGATAAATAGAGGCCCTAAGCATCAATAAACAACTTGGTGGTAAAAATGTAAAGCTCAGGAAGAGGCAAGGTAGAAAAACCACCTCATGGAACAGCCCCAACTTTGTAGTACATCATGAAAAATATAAAGGTTTACCGACTTTGCATCTTGTAGTAATTTGCTTTTGTACCAAGCATTTCGCTGACGAACAACGTGACAAACGAGTCTCGCCTGGCGTCACGATGGAGATCATAAATAATTTGTCTTTCAATTAGCAATTGAGAGCCATAGTTGATGAACAAACTGGGTCATGTGAGTCGTAAAAATAGACAGTCAATGGAGCCGCAGTTGAACAAAGCAATGTCAGTCTGTGCTTGGCGCTCATAAGCAAAATTCCAACAACCTCAAATGAACTTATTTTGAGAGAAGATGTAATATGGACATTAAGCACTAACTGCAGCAGAGAGGAGCGGAGTTTCATGGCATATTTGTGTTGCAATGTAGGCCAATCTCTGTGGTACTGCTGAATGTCCATGGTATCTTTAAATCTCATTTCACATATCTCTTTTTTTCCATTAACAAGTGTTGGTCTGTAGGCCTACTCGTAAACTGTTTTGGACCTACATTCAGCACCGATGGAGGGAAATTCCTTCCGCCACAGTCTTGCAAATTCTGTAGATGGGTTGGAAAGTAAGTGCGCAAGATGGACTTTTTGCAGCAACCCTCACAATTTCGCGAAGAAATAGGATAGGATCTGTATGTTACAATCTTGTCGACCAGTCTATACGGACTGTACGCCGCGGGTGTAACCGACCAAAGTTGCGGTATACCAAGGACGGCTTCATAAAGGGGTCAGTTCACCTTTCGGCACCAGCAGCAACCTTAGAGCAGGCCTCTGTCCTGCCTCAAACTGGACCGTTGCCGACGGGAAGAGGACTTGGAACCTGTAGCGACCCTTACGTGTCTTTGGACCGTAAAGAATACACTTGTCATCCATAGATGTCAGGAAATTCAAAGTAACAGAACGAGGTGGTTATAATCATGTACCTGATTGTGTTTCCGTCTTTTTTTCTTCAAACAAAGAGAAATACGAACCAAAAATCGACACAAACGTGGGTGTGTTACGATTAGCGAAGTAAAAACATCACTGCCTGTAATACGGGGAAGGCGAGGGCTGGGATTGGGTACTCTGTTAACGGGGAGAACAATATTATTAGCATAAAAGAGGGGGGGGGAGTTTTTCATTTCAAACCTGACCAATCTGTGGTTGTATTGAAAGTATGTCATATCAACAGCTTTCTCAAGATTTAAAACATTTTTATTGCCACGTCACAATCATAGTTTTTGCCTACCAGTGGTTAACAGTTCATAGCTGGTTATCAGTAAGAATAAACCACAAAGTCTCAAAAACATCTCACGAAGTTTTCAAAACACAAAATAATTAATACTAATATGAAGAGTAAATGAGACACATCCCTCTTTAGCATTAACAGGGAAAACGTACATTTTGTGGTACAACCTGTTTGTAACAGGGAAAACTTATTTATGCAAACATTGGCCTTCCATTAATGATAGGCAAAAGACAGACCCACTGGATTTCAAGAGATGGAGAAATGAAATTTATCCAGGGTAACAATTACGTTTAAACGAATACGGCCCTTTTCCTCATCTGAAGAAACATCTCTACTGAGAGCTGACGAAGGGAAATAAAATTCCGAGTTCTCTTTCGCTGACCTACCTTGATGAGTCTCTCTTGCCAGACAGGGTCCAGCTTATGGTAGATATCATCCAATAAACACTGTGAGTCGCCACTTTGTTGCTCGGCAACTTCATTCCAGAGCTGTTGATTGGACAAAAAAGATCCAGCAAAATAAATCACGTGGGGAAGACATATATGGCCAGAATGGAAAGGAACGGAGCAATGAAACAAATTGAAAGAATAGAATATTTTCGGATTCAGATGTTCAATTATTTTCGAAGTAGCACGGCAGTTCATGATTTTCAGTTATCAGACGAGTAACTGGCAAGATTATTGTTGAAAAGCGTTAGTTTAAGATTATTATGGGACTACACTGCCGTGAAATTATTCTTTCTGGCAAGTCACTTTGTTGAAGAAAACAACGAAAGAAGGTCATTTCCATCAATGTGTCTAAGACACATTGGAAAATCCCCCTCAGAAGCGAGCCCAAGCGTTGACCAAAAACGCGTGCGGTTTCTATTCAGTGCCGTGACATCACGTAGCAGCATTTGACTGAATGCAAGAACGTATCAAAGATGCCGAATTCAGGCGCAATCCAAAATATGACTTCGTAACATTTGATCTGAAATCTGAATCATAGAATATTGTTTTTCTTAGAATATTATGCTGTAATTACTGAAACCTCATCAGGTTTGTTCCTGGGCACCCTTCTCTGGGTTTTGAATTAAATCTATTGCCTCATTGGAACACAATTCGCAAATCGGAAGAACTATGGGCCTACATTCAGAATATTCAATTATGCGTTAGTTTAGCAACCTAAATGCATGTAACACTCATTACGTAATGTTGGAGTTCCCTTCAGTTGCAAACCCTCGGTTTCCAAAGTCACACTTTAACCTTTACGATGTGACGTTCGTTTGACGTCACTACAACTTAAGCGACACCAACTTACACGGTGTATAATGCAGAGCAATGTCAGCGCTGGAACTGGAGGTGAAGCAAAGTTGGCGTGTTATAGCCAACGAGCGCCCTTAATCACTGGCAGAGGGTCACTGAACTAGATACTCTTCAGTCTTGTTCCGCTAGTCGCCCAGCACCCGAATAGGGCGCTGGGGCGGGGGGGGGGGGGG